CGAGTTCAAGAGAGTGGGGGATATGGGAGGAGCTGAAGCAGGGAGATGGGGGTGCGAATCATGAATACGGTGTACTCATACCTAAAATTCTCAAGGAAGTTTAAAAACAAAACAAGTAGGATTCGGAAACTCAGGAAGACTAGAGCTAGAAGCATGGATTTGAAGGTCAGCAGTGGAGGTCTGGAGGTCAGCAGTGGAGGTCAGCAGTGGAGATCAGCAGTGGGGGTCTGGAGGTCAGCAGTGGAGATCAGCAGTGGAGGTCAGCAGTGGAGGTCAGCAGTGGAGGTCAGCAGTGGGGGTCAGCAGTGGGGGTCTGGAGGTCAGCAGTGGAGGTCAGCAGTGGAGGTCAGCAGTGGAGGTCAGCAGTGGGGGTCAGCAGTGGGGGTCTGGAGGTCAGCAGTGGAGGTCTGGAGGTCAGCAGTGGAGGTCAGCAGTGGAGATCAGCAGTGGGGGTCTGGAGGTCAGCAGTGGAGGTCAGCAGTGGAGATCAGCAGTGGGGGTCTGGAGGTCAGCAGTGGAGATCAGCAGTGGAGGTCTGGAGGTCAGCAGTGGAGGTCAGCAGTGGAGATCAGCAGTGGGGGTCTGGAGGTCAGCAGTGGAGGTCAGCAGTGGGGGTCTGGAGGTCAGCAGTGGAGGTCAGCAGTGGAGATCAGCAGTGGGGGTCAGCAGTGGAGGTCAGCAGTGGAGGTCAGCAGTAGAGGTCAGCAGTGGAGGTCTGGAGGTCTGCAGTGGAGGTCTGCAGTGGAGGTCAGCAGTGGAGGTCAGCAGTCGGGGTCTGGAGGTCAGCAGTGGAGGTCTGTAGTGGAGGTCAGCAGTGGAGGTCAGCAGTGGGGGTCTGGAGGTCAGCAGTGGAGGTCTGCAGTGGAGGTCAGCAGTGGAGGTCAGCAGTGGAGGTCAGCAGTGGGGGTCTGCAGTGGAGGTCTGCAGTGGAGGTCTGGAGGTCAGCAGTGGAGGTCAGCAGTGGGGGTCTGCAGTGGAGGTCAGCAGTGGAGGTCTGGAGGTCAGCAGTGGGGGTCAGCAGTGGAGGTCTGCAGTGGAGGTCTGGAGGTCAGCAGTGGAGGCACGAGGGGGGCTGAGGTTTCACTAACAATCGAGCAAAGTATGGTGGATAAAACCTGGAATCCTGACGAACACTAACACTCCAGGGGTAGAGAGAGGGGATTTCAGGGGGCTGTAGAGGGACAGTCAGAGGTCAGGAGAAACGAATACTGTGGCACAGCCAACAGTGAAGACTTAGGTAGAAGGACTGCCACTTGGTGGACTAACATGGTGTATGTGGACAGCCAAATGTGACCCATCAAAAATTAAAAATTACAAGACCTTGGAGGTGAGTGCAGTATGGCTACCGTGGGCTGGTGAGGAGAAAGCTATTTAAGGGAGAGCCAGAAAGCTTGCAGCCACGCTTTGATAAAAGACAACTTCCTGTTCATTCAAGCAATTCCCCTTTCTAAAAGAAATGAAATAGTACCACAAAGGTTACTTCGGAAACGAGAATAAATCAAGATCAATACACGGAAGAGAAATACATCTCCAAGCAGCGGAGCCCACTTTTAAAAGCGCTCTTTGTCCTCTGCAGACAGACACTGTGAGGCTGCAAGGCTTTGCAGACCAGGCTTACCCCACGGCCACAGCCTGGGCTCTTTTGCATGAGACTCCAACTGGAACTAATAGAAGAACATGTCTCCAGAGGGAACAGTTTCTTCTAGGAAGAGCACCCTATCCAACTCGTGGTGAAAATTAAAATGAAGCGGACAATACCATTCCAGATGAGGCAAAGTACTGACTCCTTCATATGCTGTTCCAGAAATCCTACTTGACAAAACCATGTGAGTCATGCAGGAGCTTTAGGGACGAGTGTGCTCTGTACTCTGTCACTGCTTCCTGGGTGGCAACGTCGCTGAGAATCCACTGAGAAGCCTCGGATTAGACTACTGCAAGGCCATGAATTTGCATTTTACTAAACAACAAAAGTATTGACACTAAGGCTAAAGATGGAATGTTTATTAAAGAAGTTATTAAATAAAAAATTTAAACCCCTCCAACTCAGTGTTGACATTTAATTTGCCATTGCAACAGTACTAAAAGGCGGGACCTTTCAAGAGGTGGTCAGGCCACAGGGGCTCCGCTCTCAAGAATGGATTAAGGCCATCAGTGTAGGAGTGGACTGGTTGTGACTAGAGCGGTGGGGGTTTTACTTGTTTTCAAACTGTCTCTCTTATCATTTCTCCATGTGAGGTTTTCCTCCATGTTATGATGTAGCCAGAAGGTCCCTCACCAAATACAACCCCTCGGACTTGGACTTCCTAGTTTCCAGAACTATGAGTCAAACAAACATGTTGCTTCTAATCTACCCAGTCGGTGGTATTTTGTTGTACCTTCAGAAAACGTGCTAAGACAACCAGTCACAAGAAATAATAGTGGATGACCAACTTGCTAACAGAGCAAAACCCCATTAAAAAAGGGAGAAAATGAAAGGAAGAAAGAATGTCTGCTGAGATAATCCCAGGTAATGGCTGTTATTTGTTGGTGTTATTTACCGGGCACAAGAAAACACGAGATACAATGGAACCCACTATAAGAGTTTTTACTAGAGAAGGGGAAGGATGGAGGTGGGTAGGGTGGCGGAGAGGGAGAGAGAGCCGGGATGGGGAGAGCCTGCTTTTATAGGTCACCTCACACATGCATCTGTAGGCTTAGTTAGCTGTGCCACGCATGTGAGCCGATGACCAAAGACAACTTAGGGGAGAGAGAGGTTTATTTGGGCTCAATTCCAGGTCCATCTTTGTGGGGAGGTCATGGCAGGAACTTCCAGCAGTAGCTGTACCCTATCCACAGTCAGGAGCAGAGAGAATCCTGAGTGCACACATACATGCTTGGCTGTGCCCTGATCAGTCTCTCCACATTTCAGGATCCCTGCCTAGGAATGGTATTACCCAAAGAGGCCTGGGTTTTCTCTTATCAATTAACTCAAGACAAAGTCAACAGGCCTGCCCACAGACCAGCCCAATGGAGGCAATTCCTGATTTAGATTCTCTTCCCTTGGGATTCTAGATTGTGTCAAATTGAAAATGAGAGCTAACCATCATAAACATTAAAAGGGGAACACCAAGAATTGAAAATGAGAAGAAAAGGGTAAAGCTACTGACAATTATTCTGAGTCATTAGCATGTAAGCGATCCCTGAAACTCATAGGCATAAGATTACTCAAGAGCATACATTGTTTAAGCCGGGAGATGGTGGTGCACACCTTTAATCCCAGCACTCGGGAGGCGGAGGCAGGCGGATCTCTGTGAGTTTGAAGCCAGCCTGGTCTACAGAGCGAGATCCAGAACAGGCACCAAAACTACACAGAGAAACCCTGTCTCCAAAAACCATAAAGAAGTAAATAAATAAATAAATAAAAATTAAAAACAATAGAAGAAACATTTCAGGGGCTGAATGAGAAAGAAGAGTCCATGGAAGAGACTAAGTAACCAGATAAGTAGAAAAATTCAGACAAGGCAGGAAAATCAAGAAAGGCTTGAAGGAAATTATGATATGCATTGTACATTTGCTCATGGACGACTTTCTGAGAAAGATCTGTGGGCATGGGAGAGGGTTTCCAGGTATGCCCTATCACTTGTAACTAGACAGTTAGTGAGTGTTTGAAGGGCCTCCCTTATTGTTTGATAGTCCCTGGCTGTTACAGAGCTTGAAACAAGCAGGATTCACTATGTTTAATGTTTATTGGTTTCATCTGCAGAAACATGGAAAGCTGGTGTCCATGACAACAGGAGCTGCCAAGCCAGGAGGGAGAGGGAGTGGACGGATTCAAAGCTCAATGGGAAGAAGGAAGATGTATTAGCTCCTTGTCTGGTTGCTGTGACAAGCTACTTGACAACCCACTTCAAAAACGAGGGTTTATTCTAGCTCACAGTTGGAGGGTACAGTCCATCATGGTGGGGCAGTCACGGGGGCAGAAGCTTGAGGCAGCTGCTCACATTGCATCAGGATTCAGGAAGCACAGAGTGGTGAACCCTTGGGATCAGCTCCTTTTCTCCTTTTTCTCACCCCAGCACCCCACCCATAGAATCATGCCACCAACGGGGTGGGCCTTTCCACTTCAATGAACCTAATCCAGATAATCTCTCACAGGCATACACAGAGGCCTGTCTCTTATGTGAGTCTAGATCCCATCAGGCTGACAAGGTTAACCACCACATAGAGCTATAATAAAGACCCTGAAGCCAGGAGCTGGAGAGATGGCTCAGTGTTCCGAGCACTGGCTGCTCTTGCAGAGAACCCGGGTTCAATTCCCAGCACCCACACGGCAGCTCACACCTATCTGTGACTCTGTGAGGCACCGCACACAAATGGTGCACAGACACACATGCAGGCTAACACCCATACACAGAAACTTTTCAAAATAATAAAGACCCTGAAATCAGGCAGCAGGTGGACTTACTGTATGTATCGGTGTGGACTTACTGTATGTATCGGTAGTGTAGGTAGTTCACAAGAAAAGGAGGAAGTTCTGGGTTCTTTTTCACTGTTAGTGCCTCATGGGAGAATAGCACATCAAAGTTAACCGAGTACTTAGGACTAGCAACTGTACTAATAAGAAACAGTAGCTAAGAAATGATACACCCAAACCCGCGCTAAGACCGCTCACTACCTTTTCCTCTCTATGTCAATGCTGCTGGTTAAGTTTGGTTTCTGTAGTGGAGGTTTTAGGCTGAAGTGATATTACAATTATATCCTTTTGAAAAATATTTATTGAGTATAAATAAATGTCCTATACATTAAATATCAAGAAATATCCATTATTCATTACAAGTCAGGCTATAATACTGAGGGAACCATGGGATCAAAATAGCAACTCATGATACAGTAGTGACAGTTCATTCCAACATTAGACAGCAATGACTTGTTCACATGACACAGCAAAACCTATCAAAAAAAGCCGTCATTTAAACCCACCTATAACACCACAAGAGACAACGGTTTGGAAGCATACTATCAACAGTCTCAATCTCTTTAATAATCTTTATCTTATCAGTGTATCAAGTCACACTGAGACTGCACTTATACTACTGTAGAATGTACAGGCTCATCTCCTTGGTTTTATTTTTAATTATTGTTAATGAATGAAAACAAGTCATACAAAGTCAAAGGGACTTTTCAGTTAATCTTTCCTAAGAGAAAAAAAAGAATCAAATTTTAGTAAAAGACAGCTTCCCCCAAGCAATGAATTTCTTAACGGAAAAAAATTAAAATCCAAGAGCAGTGTAATTAGCTTTTCCTTCAAAGAAAGGAAAGAAACCTAAATCTGTTTGGCAAATTGGGAAATATTTCCTAGTCCCAGAATATGGATTGATTTTTTTTTAATTTTTACATCACGTGCTGGAATCCTGCAAGTCTAGGAAGCTGGAATCTGCGGCAGTCCGAATTCATCCACCAGCACTCCATCCTGTGAGAAGAAACTGAGAGTCAGTGCTGCTCTTCGAGTTGGTAAAAATGATGATTACATTTAGTAATCAGAAGTCACGGTCAAGTGTTGAATCAATCAGAACTAAAATCCCACTCAGAAGCGGACAATGAGCCTCTTCCTGAATCAGGCACAGAACTGAAAAGGGTTAAAGGGGGCGGTCCTCTGCAGGTAAAGGACCGAGAAGCAGAAACCCAGAAACAGGAGGTAGCTGCGAAGGCCAGGGGAAGATGTCAAGGGGTCCTTGCTTCCAAATACATTATTTTCACTCTCATCTTTCCAGTGGGCCAATATCTTTCATAGACTGGCAAACCCTTGAAGGGGAGTGTCTCAGGGGGACAGTCACTTCCCATTATGCTTTGCTACTCATCAGCCAGTGTCAGGTAAGGGTTTCCTCCTCACAGTATCCGTGTCCTCAAAACGGAAAGAGCTGGGGACACAGCACGTGGAGGAATACTTGCCTAGTAAGTGTGAAGCCCCGTGCTAAAACAACACAGATGCTTCAGGGACTCGTTACTAGGAAACTGAAAAGGCGAGTTACACTAGTGTTCACAAAAATAGCTTCAGCATAATTACTAAACAGTAGATAGTTACATAATTATTTAAAGCAACTTGCGCACCTGGGGCTTTAAGAAGCCAGAGAGGTACTCTGAGCTTAAGGAAGGAGGCAGGGTACAAGGAGAAGCACATTCACAGAGACCTTATATGAAGGCCTACAAAACTATCTGCCCCCACCCGTTGCTCCTCACATTTTATAGCGAGGGGAAGTAATTAATGTTCAGAGCTGTGCTGGCTAGTCCGTCAACTTGACATAAGCTATAGTCACCCAAAGAGCCTCAACTGAGAAAATGCCTCCCTCCATAAGACCAGGCTGTAGGCCAGCACGTTGGGCATTTTCTTAACTAGTGATTGATGTGGGAGGGGCCAGTCCATTGGGGGCGGCGCCATCCCTGGGCTGGTGGTCCTGGGTGCCATAAGAAAGCAGGCTGAGCAAGCAATGGAGTGCAAGCCAGTAAGCAGCCCTGTGTGTCAGCTCTTCCCTCCAGGTTCCCGCCCTGCTAAGAGTCTTGCCCTGACTTCCTTCAGTGATGGGCTACAGTGTGGAAGTATAAGGCTTTCCTCCCCAGCTTGCTTTTGGTCATGGTGTTTCATCAGTGCAATTAACCCTAACCAAGACAAGGGAGAAGACATGAATTCCGAATTTACTCAGAATTATAGTGAATGGAGGCAGATTTAGGACTGGACCCCACTCAAACACTAGGTCAACTGTACTGTATGTTTATGGGAAGATCGGTAAAACCAGGGCTATAAATATCCACCGCAAATAACACATTACGGTAGCAACTAAGAGGGAGTAAAATTTTATAAGCAGTAAAGGACTCTGTTTATGATGACGATTATAAGCTAGAGTTTTAAGCCCGTTACATACAAGACCTAGATTGTACTAAACAACAATCATGTGAGATACTTCACATATGCAAAGAATAGAAAAACTCAAGACAGCTAAGTGATCTGTCACAGTGTCAGAAATCCTGATTCTCTTCCTTTGTTAACTAGGTAGGGTCTTTCTAATATTAAGGTTTCCATCCCACCCCAAAACAGGGTCTTCCTGTATCTGAGGTTGGCTTCCAACTCACTCTGTGCAAAGGTCAGCCTTGAACTTCTAACCCTCCTCCTCTATCCCCCAGTACTGGAGTGACAGATGTGTGGCTGCACACCTGGTCTATGAGATCTGGACATCATATCCAGGGCTTTGTGCATGCTAGGTAAGGACTCTATCAACTGAGCTACATTCCCAGCCTTACTTACTAAGTTTTATACTTAGTTTTATACTTCACAGTCTAAATAAGCCAATAAATAATTAACTAGTGTGTCTGGAATGGGACTCTTTCTCCTTTCTCCTCTCTCTCAATATTTATGTATTTTATGTGTATGAATCTTGCCTGGATGTATATCTGTGCACAATGTGCATGTCTTCTGTCTGTAAAAGTCAGAAGAGGGCACTGGATACCTTGGAACTGGAGTTACAGATGGTTGTGAACCAATATGTGGGTTCTGGGAATTGAACCCAGGTCCTCTGCAAGAGCAGCAAGTACTTAACTACTGAGCCACCTTGCCACCTCAGGAGTGGGACTCTCTTTAATATGACCACTCAAAAGGTAAATAGACAAGTGCTACTTGAGAGGCTAAGGCCAAAAGATTGCTTCAGTTCAGGAGTAAAGGACACCTGAGACCCTCTCTAAATTAATTTAACAAAACAAAAACAGACCAGGAATATAACTCAGTATAATGTACTCACCTAACATGTGTGAGGCCCTAAGATAAATTCCTAGCACCACACACACACACACACACACACACACACCCCAAACAACTAATACTTCCACTAAGCAAGGCTCATGCATCTATCAACAATGCTTTCCTAGGAAATGGTAAAACCTGTAAATAGCACCTAGTGCTAGTTTACAGGGTGATTACATATATTATACAAAATGCCATTGTATAAAAATAGTTGGCCTAGTGGCAGAGGCCTGACAGTTCAATGCCAGCCTGAACAACCTGATAAGACCCTGTCTCAAAAGAAGATATAGTTCCAGTGGAAGAGTGCTTGCCCAGCAGGTAAAAGGTCCCCAGGACCTGGAAAAGCAAAAAGTTCTTAAAATAATGATCAGGGCTGTTAAGACTATATTTTAGATTTCCAGATTGGTGGATATAAAACCTGTATTACACTGCATGGAAATACAGAGTATACATACATACATGCAGGCAAAACTCAGAAAATAAGTAAATCTTAAAAAGAGAGTCCCACTCTGTGAACACATCAGTTATCTGTAGGATTGTTGAAACTACAGGCAGTAACCTAAGCACACAACTTAAGGGAGAACAATACCTTGTTTTTTGTATCAGTGGGAACACCTTCTGGAATCGCAGGTGCAGATGCCGCTTCGTCTAAGTAGGAACTATCTTCATCGGCCAGAAGCTCATCGCCCAGCGCATCCAACTCTGAAATTCAACAGGCTACATTATAGAAAAATGTGAAGAGAAAACTGGCCACTCATGTCAAAAAGTTAGCCGAATGATTTGTAACGAGAAAAATATAATGCAAGGGGAAAGGGACTCATTTCTATTTCTTAATCTTTATTTTTTCTATTTTAACTTAAATGTCTTCTATTTTAATTTTCTATTTTATCTTTATTTTTTTGACACAGGGTCTCACTATTAATCCTGGCTGGCTCAGAACTCAGAGATCCACCCACGCTAGGAAAGGGATTAATTTCTAGTCACATGAAAGATAACCATTATATAAGAAAATTTCAAGGAAACTAGTATATAACATTTATGAAAAGCAGAAGCAAAACAAAGCAGTCAATCAGCTCCCCATAGGTTTACAGGGTCCCAGACTTGATGACAAGTTTATCCTTGTGAGTTGGCTAATTCAAACTAGATATTTCTAACACAAATGTAAAAAAAAGCAAGAAAAAGAAAAACCTCATTGATTGATTGGTTTTCCGAGACAGGGTTTCTCTGTGTAGTTTTGGTGCCTGACCTACAGGTCTCATGAGTGTTCCCTCCACTGTTAGGTTAGAGCCCCTGCTCTGTGCTGTCAACGGCATGCATACATCTTCCCAAGCATGTGTGTGCTTACAATTAAGGTGGAGGAGTTTTATAAATACAGGAATCAGGTTGGGGAAACCAGTCAGTGGGTTAGGGAACCGCTGTCAAAGCTAAAGACCTGAGTTAATCCCTGGGACCCCCATGGTAGAAGAACTGACTCCTGCAGGTTGTCCTCAGACCTCCACAAGCACGGCCAGGGCACCTACATGTACTCCTCAATAAATAAATAATGTAAGAAAATTAAAAAGAACGGATGCAGGACCCACTCGTTTTCTCAACGCAGACTCTATAGAGAGACTGACTAAGCACAGGGAGCCTTTGCCCAGCCTCTCCTGTGCAGTTTCCCCACCCGAGTGGTGCTGTAGAGCAGAAGGTGGATGATGCAGCGGCCTCACAGGCTCTCTGCCTGCACACTGTGCCATAAACCAACTCCTAGGGCATCCTGATAGGAACTGTTTTTTGTTTTTGTTTGTTTGTTTGTTTGTTTGAGACATGGTCTCTCTACATAGTTCTGGCTGTCCTGGAACTCTCTATGTAGACAGCAGGCCTTGAACTCACAGAGATCTGCTTGTCTCTGCCTCTGGGGTGCTGGGGTTAAAGGCGTGCACCACCATGTCCAGCACCCCGACAGGAATTTTAACCAGCATTTGAGGAAAGGTCCTAGGCAGTCACTCCTCACAGACTGAAGTTAATGGACACTGCATAGCACTTACCTGCTTCCAGGTCATCCTCATCTAACTCCGGGGTGCCGTAGCTGCGACCCAGTGCTTCCTGGATTTCGCTCGCATCTTCCATCATAGCTTCCAGCTGGTCTTGTAAATCCTAGGGAAACATACATGACAGGGTTTTCCTTCTTTCTTTAGCCTGTTACATGAGTTGGTTTACTTCAGGGTGACACAGAATTCAGGATACAACAAAGGTGGGACAGCAGGACTTCAGACTCAGTTTACTTTAAACTCACAGCTAAGGCAGGAGCAGCTGAGTGAAAACTAGACAATGAGCCACCCTACGGTTTTGTTTTTAAACAAAGGTTTACTATAATGTACAGCAGGATCTAGTATAACATTTCATTCTAGCTATAGGTGGCGAAAGATGTTAGCAGGGAATCCAGAAGTTTAAATAGGAATGGAAAAGGGGCACCGTCATCTTGGTACAGCCTACTACTTATGGCCAGATTTCTGAATCCCCTTGGCCTTGGTTTCTCCCTCCTGAGTTTCCTCTACCCTTCTTTCTGTTTCTGCCCGAAAGCCTTGCTCCCCTCTCAGTGGCCTGCTTCTTGGTTGTCTGAGGGGCTTTTCTCAGACCTTCTCAGCCTGACTCGGCACCTGTGGACCCTTCCCCAGACTCCTCTTTCTGCTGATCCTCATTTTTTCGGAAGTGTAAGGAAGCAGGTTCTCTTGAGAAGTAAACAAGAGATCTCTGCAGCAGGTCAGGGTCCCCAAATGGGTCTCCCATGACAAGGTTTTCACTTAGAAATGAGAACTGAAATTGAATTTTAAAGTTACATTTATTTACTCACACACATGCGTCTTTGTACGGACATGTGCATTTATATGGGAGCTGTGCCGTTAGCACACGAGTGGAAGTCAGGACACTGGGGGAGTTGCTTCTGTCCCTCCACCACGTGGGTCCCAAGGACCGACCTCAGGTCCTCAGGTGACAGGTGCACTCACCTGCTGAGCCACCTCCAGGCCCAAATGAGAACTTAGGAAATGCTGATTAGAGCACTCGTTCTCCGTGACTCGGTTCTACTTACATGACAGGAGCTGGAACTGGCTTTAGTCAAGCGGGCACAGATGCTCCAAAGGACTCCTGAAGGTCTCTTTTTTTGAGACAGACTCTCATGTGGCCCAGTGTGACCTCACACATGGCTGTTCTGCTTCTCTGATCTTTCGGCTTTCACCCTGATATCTGGCTCTGGATTTTTTTTTTAAAAGACCATCTAAGATTCGAACAACAACAGGGTTTCTCTGTGTAGCCCTGGCTGGAACTCACTCTGTAGACCAGGCTGGCCTCAAACTCAGATATCCACCTCTGAGAACTGCCTCTGCCTCTCGAGTGCTGGGATTAAAGGGATATGCTACCACTGCCTGGCCATAAAATAAAAATTTTAAAAATCTTAAAAAAAAAAAAAAAAGATTCCAAGCCCCCCCCAACACACACACACACACACACACTCACACACTCACTCACTCCTGGAGATGGAACCCAGAGTCTTGATCACGGTTGGCAAGTGCTCTACTACCGAGCTCTACCCTCAGCCCAATTTTCCTCATTTGGGATTACTGGGCTAGAGAGATGGCACACGGTTAAGACCAGATACTGTTCTTCCAAGGACCTGAGTTTGGTTCCCAGCACCCATGTGGGAAGCAACAACTTTAACTCCAGGGGACCTGATTCCCTCTTCTGGCCTCTAAGGACAGCTGCACTTACATGCATAAACCCCTCCTCAGACACACATGCATATACAGAACTTAAGTCTGTAAGAAAAGAGGAGGGGAAAGCTGGAGAAATGCTTCATCAGTTAAGAGCATTTGCTGCTCTTGCAGAGGACCTGGGTTCCATTCCCAGAATCCACATGACTGCTCACCACCGTCTGTAACTCCAGTTCCAGGGGACCTGATGCCTTTTCTGGCCTGCAAAGGTACCAGGCACGCACACAGTGCAAATGCAAACAAGTAGACAAAACACTCATAATGCATTAAATAAAAGTAAGGAAATCTTTTTAATGGGATTATTAAGAACCATATTTCATATGGCTACTGTAAGATTTATTGTAATAATGTATATAAAACACTTAGTACTTAAGGCCAGCCTGGGTAACTTAGTGAGACCCCCTCTAAAAACTAAATACATTTTAGAAAGTGAAAAAAGGGGCTGAAGAGATGGCTCAGAAGTTAAGAGCACTGGCTGCTCTTCCAGAGGACCCGGGTTCAATTCCCAGCACCTACCTGGCAGCTCACAACTATCTATGACTCCAGGATCCAACACCCTCACACGGACATACATTACATACAGGCAAAACACCAATAAAATAAAAAGGAAAAAAAAAAAAAAAGAAAGAAAGAAAGAAAATGGTTCTTGTTGTAAAAAAAGTGAAAAAAAAAAAAAAAAAAAAAAAAGGCGAGGCATGTACAGGCCCTAAGTTCAAAAAAAGAAAACAAAAGTGGGCCAAACATCAGTATGTTCTGATACACAGAGGGGATGAGGCCACTGCTCACGACACGGCAGGTTTCACTCAGCACAGTTTCCTGTAGGAGGCACGCAGGTCCGTGTGCTCTCAGATAAGCACTGGGGAAACCAGGCGTGTTAAACATGCAGGGCTGTCTCTGCATAGGGAGATGGATAACATGTTTTCGGCTCAGAAGGCTGGGAGCAGAGGTGGTTAACAGGCCCTCTGCACTATCACAGGCCAGGCCACACGGCTCCCTCAGACCCTTATCTTGACCTGTTTACCTCAGTCAATATATAGAGCTATCCTCCCCGACCCTTACTATGAGCTTGTTTGCCTTGAGGCTGCTTCCCGTTACTATAGAACCTATCTATACAAAAGACACCACTTGTACTTCACAAGAGTTTTGATGTCTTAAGCTTTGTTGTGTACACAGGACTGAGTTAATTATCACCCGGAAACTCTTTTCCAAATTGTGTTGTGCTTAAATATGCCTAAAATAAGCTACCCAGTGTCAGACTCTCAAAGTTTGAACCAGCACCAGCTGAGGTGTGCTGAACAGGACTTCCTTTTGCCTCTGCTGGCCATGGTGTTTTCAGAGGACCCCCCCCCCCACACTTCTATTTCCAGAGCAACAAAGTCATGTGTAAATTCCTTTCTGGCAGTCTGTTTGTTTTTCCATAAGAAAGTGGAGAGAATACAAAGTAAAATGCTTTTCTGTATTCCTGAGTGTCAAACTGCCACAGTGGCCATGAGCCATCCTGCTACAGAGAAGCACTGGTAACAGTAACTGAGAAGGAGTAAAAAGTCGCAGAAGAAGGATTCAAACCAAGTTTATGGTGCTACATATCAAGAAGTTTCCTTAGCTAGGCATGGGGTTCCCAGTACTTTGAGGCTGAGACAGGAGATTGTCATGAGTTCTAGACCAGTCACACCTACATAGTAAGACCCTGTCCCAAAAAGAAGGTAGGGGGAGGGATGCTTTAAAAAAAATCTGATGAGTAAGATTTATTTATTTATTTTTTTGTGAACAGGGTCTTGCTTTGTGGCCTAGGCTGGCCTTGAACTTATGATTCTTCTGCCTCTGACTTCCTAGTCCTGAGATTATAGGCCTGCAACCACTACAGAGCCTATGAACAGGGTTTTTATTTACACAGTCTAGGATAGACACAGAGAGAAAAAAGGAAGTCACCACACCAAGTATCCTAATCCACCTTTAAATTCAATACTGCATAAACAAAAGCAACACAGACAGAAGCACTCATCTGAAAGCAGAGACGCCTAATGTTCGCCGAAAGAGAAAGAAAAAAGACTTGAAAAGGGAGTTGGGGTGGGTGGGAGAGACAGAGATGGCTCAGTAGTTACAAGAGCACAGTAGTGCTCTTGCTGAGGACCTGAGTTCAGTTTCCAGAAGCCACAACAGGCAGCTCACAACCATCCATCTATACCTCCAGCTCCCGGGATCTGCTGCTCTCATCGGGTCTCCATGGGCACTGCACTCATGTGCACAAAAATCAGACACACACATACATATACTTAAAAATAAAAATACAACTTTTGTTTGTTTTTTGAGGTAGTCTCTCTATATAGCCCTGGCTGTCCTGGAACTCCCTGTGTAGACCAGGCTGGCCTCAAACTCACAGAGATCCTCCTGCTTCTGCCTCCCAAGTACTAGGACTAATGGTGTGTACCGCCATGACTGAGCTGAAGTCTTTTTTTTTAAAGGATGAAAACAGCTATACATACAAACCAAAAATGTAAAAGTTAGAGCTATAAAACAATTAAAATGTTTTACAATTAAAAAATTAAACTTAAAAAGATTTCAAAATTTATAGCTTAAATTTCAAAGTTTATAGGTTAATCAAAAGATACACACATGTTAAAGGGATCTGTCGTGCTGTAGTCCATTAGGGGCAGGGATGGATAACAGGAAGGAGATGGGGAGACATCCAAAAAGCCAGAATGAAATTGAATGTGGTGGTGGTACACAGACGTAATGCTAGCACTCCAGAGGCTGAGGCAGGAGGACAGCCACAAGTACAAGGGTAGCCTAGGTGATATAGAAGAGCCTGGACTATAGCATGACACCCATTCTCAAAAGCAAAGCAAAGCCTGAACTGGAAAGATGGCCTCGTGGTCAAGAGCATGTGCTGCTCCCCAAGGCACTGAGTTTAGCATCTATATCAGAGCAGCTCACAGTAACTGTAACTTTCACTCCAAGGGATCCAGCACCCTCTGAGAGATTGCATGCACATGCAAAAATCCATACACAGACATATACACATATACATAATTACAGACAAAATTATAAAAAACAAAACAAAACACCCCCCCCACACACACACTCCCATCAGGTGGTGGTGGTGGTGGTGCATGCCTGTAATCTCAGCACTTAGGAGGCAGAGGCAGCTGGATCTCTGTGAGTTCAAGGCCAGCCTGGTCTACATAGTGAGTTCCAGGACTGCCAGAGCTACATACTGAGGAACCCTATATCAGGAAAAAAACAAATAAATAAATAAATAAAACAAAACCCAAAACAACAACAAAAAGCCAAAAGAAAAGAAGCCGGAATGAACATGCCTTCTCTTATGTTCATATTAAATGGCTCTCACTGAAACCACAAGGGAGGTGGCAAGGTAGCACAAGTCCATAATCTAAGCATTTGGGAGGCTGAGGCAGAAGGCCAGCAAACATAGTAAGAAGTAGGCTATCCCTGCAACACATCTCCACCCTCCCACCCTCCCATGCGGGTCCCCAAGAGTTTCCTCAACTTTTCCTCAACAGCTGTCCTCAGGTTTAGAATGGTTTTGGCTCCTGTTCACATAGCTGCACTGTGTCTCAACATGAGTCACCTTTGAGGAATCCATACAGCAGCTGCAGGCCCCTCCCATATTGCAGTTTGGGCATCCCCAGAGGGAAGCCCGAGGTGAGGATTCCTAAGAAGGGGGCATAGTTCATTGCTAATGACCTGAGACAGGAGTCGGGAGTGGGAAGAGAAGGGTGGACAGAAAATGGAGGACGTATTACCTGGCTATTTACTACTGGGGGTAAAGGGAGATTCATGCCACTGGTCCACCCTGGGAGATGACCTGATGGGGACCACCATTTCCAGGTCATCCTATCTATTACCAAGCTTGGCAGTCTCCAGCTGAAGGCTGTTCTAGGGGTTATGTCTGCTTCCCCTGGCTATGGCATGGGCAAAGTCTCTCTTGAGGCTGTAGGAAGTTGGACCAGAATGTCTGACAGGCAGGGGAGAAGCCTGGACAGCTCTGCCACACCCAGTGGCCCTGTCTTCCAGAGAGAATAAGATCACTAAGGAGACTTCTGTCCTGGTAGCTCACCTCACGTTAGCACAGGTGACTTGAGTGGAGGAGTCTCACTTGTCCTCTCACCTGGTTCTGTCTTTTCCATGCTGGCCCTGATACCCCAGGCAGGGCTGGACTCAGTATCCCTACTTAGGTGTGGATGGCTCAGGTTTAGGGCTGGGGACATGACCAGTGTGACTGGTTCACAGATCAGCACGTGATTCAAGCTTGCATCTCACAACAGCTGCTGCTCCTGGGGAGGCACGGCTCCCTTTCTGACGGGCCTGTGGGTCTTGAGCTAACTGCTGGTTGCCCTCACATCATTCTGGGAGGTGTCTTTGTGTGGGGACCCTGCAAGAGCCATTGCAGGGAAAGACCAGCAGAGACATGACCCCGTGACTAGTGTCTCGGAGTCCTGGACGCTCTTTATGAGGTGGGCTGACACCCCAGGACAGCAACCTGCCCATTTAGCTTAAGCTAGTTTGAACCGAATCTTTGTTGCAACAGATCCAGGACCAGTCCGCTAAGGGCCCCTGGCAGACATAGCCACTGAGAGTGAGTGGGGGACCCCCTTACCCCACATTTTTTGGAGGGAGTCATCAAACTGGGTCTCCTAGTAAGAGAAGCTCAGACAGGATATTTTCCTCCGTATTAGGGTGGAGGCAGAAGTGTCCCCTGTGGAAGCTGGACAGTGGCTCACCTGCAGGCTGAGGAGGCCCCTGCCTCTCTGCTTCATGCTCTCCTTTCTCTCCTCCCTTTCCAGCCTCTGTCCTGCCCACCAGTGACCCTTACCTTGCCAGTCCTACTCCGGGAATCCCACATCTCTCCTCCACACCTGGTCCAGCTCAAAGAGCCACTTCGTGAAGGCCACCAGGGACAAGATCCTGAACAGAGCATCTCATCCCTACCTACATTTACAGCCTCCTACTGAGTGGGTCACGTGGGACCACATGCTCCCTCATCTTTCTCTACTTTGGATTGTCTTCCAAACATGTATCCATGACTGTTTTGTACATGATTTAAAAAAAAAAAAAATCTCTCTTTATGTCAGGGACGATAATGTACGCCTTTAATCCTAGCGCTCAATGAGGCAGACAGGCAGATCCCTAAGTTCAAGGCCAGCCTGGTCTACAGAATAAGTTCCAGGACAGCTGGGGATACACAGAGAAACCCTATGCCCTCCCCAAACAAACAAACAAAACAAAACAAAAAAAAACAATAAAATAAAAATTAAAAAGTTGTCTTCGTGAAGCTTATGTTCTGGTATAAAGACCAATAAATATCCAAAAGTCAGCCAGAAAAAAAAAGAAGAAGAAGAAGAAGTAGGCTAGCCTGGGCTACAAAACAATATCAGACAACATTACAGAGAGCCCTAACCATTGAAAATAAAATTGCTTTTCAAATTTTAGTGAATAGTAAGCTGTAAATGGTATTATACAAATGAGCACACACAGATTATTTTTCTCAATGAATGTCCTGAAAGCTGTAACAATGCCTAATGCCATGTACACAGAGATTTGTGAATGACTGGAAGTAGTCAAGGGCCGTGTAAGAAGGGCCAATGGAAAACAGTAAGGTGGGGACCAATGCTCTTCATTTCCACTAAGTTTCAGATGACCAGAGAATGTCTTCGTGAAGCCAGAAAAAACGCCTGGGACATAGCGACCGCTCACTCAACAAACACTGCTTGACTAGAACAGTATGTTACAGCCGTTAACTAGTAGATATTCCCTGGGCCCCAAATACGGCCAGGTATTGTTCAAGCCAATGGGGATAAAGACTGAATGAACAAAATCAAATCCCTTCCTTCCTTCTAATCAGAGGGTAAAGCTGTGCTGTAGATGTAGGAAGGAGCCTTTTTCCTTCAGCAGGCCACGACTCACTCCCGCTACCTCTGCCCGCCATGTGGGATGCTCGCCTGACACTGACTGAGCAGCCAGGCTCACAGGTCTTACCTTCCTGACCAAATCCCAGACCCTAAAGGAAATGCTAACTTCAAGCAGCTAATAATTGATTACCAAAATGTAAAGAAAATTACTAGAACTACTAGATAGGGGACTGACTCCACCAGAAACTGTGTAAACCAATTACATACACATCCTCATTTAACATCTGTGGTGTATGCTCTAATCTTAGCACTCAGAAGGCTAAGGCAAGAGGCCTCAGGTTCAAAGCCAGCCTGGGCTTCGTCGCAAGATCTTTTTTTTTTTTTTTTTTTTGGATAATACTTGGAGACAGCTTCCTTATTTCACCTGAATAAGTGGTACTGGGATCTTTGCATTAGCAATGAGGAAACTGAGACCTCTGGCATCCTTCCCTTTCCTGAAGTCACTACACTAGTAAACAGCAGGCCCAGGATTGCATCCCTTTTCCGTGCCTTTCTCATCACACACATTTATTCTCAACCTTGCAGTAAAAACCAGCAGACAGCCAGCTCACCTCAATCTGGTCGATTTTCACGTGCTTGTAAGCCCTCTTCATTTCCTTTACTCCCACTTTCATGGCATCAACCTAAAAAAGGGTACAAGAAAGCACAACAGAGTTGTTTTATTCTGAAGTACTGAGGATTTGAACCCAGATCCTCACACATGCTAGGTAACCATTCTACCATTGTGTTACATTCCCAGCCCTGAAAATACACTGTCTTGATTTGAACCCAGGTCCTCACACATGCTAGGTAACCATTCTACCACTGTGTTACATTCCCAGCCCTGAAAATACAGTCTTGATTTGAACCCAGGTCCTCACACATGCTAGGTAACCATTCTACCACTGTGTTACATTCCCAGTCCTGAAAATACACTGTCTTGAGAAGTCATATTTGTGCTGGAGAGATGCTCAGGGGTGACGAGCATTTGTTGCTCTTGCGGAGGACCTGGGTTTGAGTCCAGCATCCACATGCTCATAACCATCTGTAACTCCAGATCCAGGGGATCTGATGCTCTCTTGTGACACAAGGTACTCAAATAAACATGCAGGCAAAACATCCAAACACAAAGTCATGTCTGCTAAACCATCTTTTAAACCATGGGAATGCGTAGGAGATTTTAAAACAAGAAGAGCTGAGAGGTGGTGCTGGCGCACACCTTTAATCCCAGCACTCAGGAGGCAGAGGCAGGGGGATCTCTGAGTTTGGGGCCAGCCTGGGCTACAGAGTGAGTTCCAGGGCAGAAACCCTGTCTCGAAAAACCAACCAAACAAACAAAAAAATTAAAATGGGAAAAAGTGCTTTGGGCATACCGTGGTCTTGGTGTCCTTCAGTGACTGAATGGTGTAATTAGCCTGCTCCATGTTAAAGGACTGCTGGGCAAGGTTGTCTCGCTGCTGCTCATACCTTTTTGGAGCCAAGTGAGAATCAGAAATGTGAGACAGACAGAAATCCTTAGAAGAAAGTAGTCTTAACACCAAATAAGAGAATGTTTTTCAAACCAACCAACCAACCAACCAATCGACCAACCAAAACCAAAATCATTTAAAAATTACCCACTCTTAGAAAATCCCTCCAAATCTTTTTCCCTTGCGTGTATTTGAGTTTTAAATATTGCCACTTAACAACATAGTATTTGCTTCTTTTTTCTATTTCTTGAAAAAAGGTCTTATAGTCCAGGCCAGCCTCAAACTTGTAGTGGCCCTCCTGTTTCAGCTCCCCAAATGCTGATAATCTAGGTGTGCATCACTGTTCCTGGCCTGCTCTATATCCTACTATATTTTATTTATTTTTCTAATTATTTCCCAAGATGAATTCTAAGAAGTGGAACTCCTGGAGCAAAGGATAAGACTATTTTTTAAGGTTCTTCATACAAATAGCTAAATGTTTTTCAGGTAGACTCAAAGTGTACTCAAAGAACACTTTAATCGCCCTATATTCATAATTAGGCTATTATTTAAGTCAGATGTCTGATGCTAGAAATACTGATACGCAAAATGTCCGATACTCTTTAAAGTTTTCTATCAAATTATAATATTATGTCATCAAATTATAATACTTATGTCACCACGATCTTTACACAACATTCGGAAACCATCTAACTAGCAGAAGAAAAACAGGTAATTCATGATCCAGACAAATGGCAGATGATTCCATTAAGTTAGGCGTGGCGGCACATGGTTATAATCCCAGTACTTGGGAGGCTAAGTCAGGGGATTGAGCTGGAGGCCAGTCTTGGTACATAGTAAGACCCTGTCTCTAAAAACAGAAACAGGGGGAAAAAAAAGTATAGTTTTAAGTAGTAAAGAATAGCTTAGATAGAAGATACATTATAATTTCAGTTTCCTAAGAATCTAGATAAATTTTCTTTACTTTTGCTTGCTTCATATATTTTCCAAGTTTCTGTAATAAATCTATATTCCTCTTTTAAAACAATTATTTATATTTTTTTGAAGCAGGGACTCACATAGTCCAGGATGGTCTAGAATGTACTAGCCGAGAGTAGCTTTGAACCCGTTATTCTTGCCTCCACACACCAAATGCTAGGTTTACAGGCGTGTGCCACCATGCTCAGTTTACTTATTTACTTAATTTGAGACAGGGTCGTCTGTAGCCAAGGCTAGCCTTGATTCCTCTATGTAACCAAGGCTCATAGGTTCCTGGTTCTTCTTTCCCGACCTCCCAAGTGCTAGGATTACAGGCCTAGGCCATCAAAGCCAAATTGTATTTCTTCTGTAAGAAAAACAATACTTTAAAATCAATTGCCACTAAGAAGGCTAATAGTTGCAACACATCTTGGCCATTGTAGGCATTATTAGTTTTTTTCCCAATGTGATTTAATATATTAAAAAAAAAAAAAGGAAAGAGAGCATCTGATGTGTTACAAAGTCATTTTAAAATTGGAGCAAAGCTGTCAGCAATTTCGGGGTTTCCTATAAGCTGATTATGCCTAGCTTCTACAATTCCATGGATGATCTCACAGGCTGAGCAGTTCACAGGGGTGAGCACCAGATATTAACTGGCTTTTGCACAAACACTGGGACATAGTAATTGAAAACAAATTGTGGACCTTTACACTTATTCTGGTGAGAAAGAACAAATACTTAGCACCCCTAACTTTACCAAAAAAACTATACAAACAATAGGAAAATCAAGCTATATAGATCTGGCCAGCCACAATAATAGTCACTAGTACCCCACAGCTACCTAAACTTAAGTTAGTACCATTAACTAATGGAAGTTTATGGAAATTTGCAATGAAACCAAGGATACTTAGAAAATGATCTGGAAGCTGGAAAGGCTGACGACCTTTTTGCTTTGGGCTTAAACTGTTCTTGGAAAGGAGATGGCGCATGACTTACATCCGCTTTTGCTTTAAAACCCTCAGGGCTTTCTGTTTGACCATGTTCTGAGGAGAAAAACAGACTTAATAAAAAAGGGGAACACATATGGCAAAAGAAGTCTCCCATATGCTCCAACTTGTACACCAACTTGCTTTCTTCTTCAAAATGGTAGACACAGAGGTACCCTGGGTCTAGTCTTTCCCTCCAGGCACAGATAACTTAAAGTCTAGTTGGTGAGCCTTAGCACCCTTTGCACCCCACATCTCAGTGTCCTGATGCATCTTATTTCCACCACCAGCCCCAACAGTGCCCACTGTGTATATCCAGTTGCCTTCGATTTAAACACAACATCTATCACACCCTCATGTTAGAAACAATTTACAACTCCACCAACCTTTCCCTTTTAGAAGCTGAGCGCCTCTACATGGACCTTTGCTTCCTCTCTGTTCACTCTTTATGCAGATTTATCAAACACTACTATATTCTAGACATAGTGCCACGAAGGTGACTTGTTATTTAATCCCCACACTGCAATGCACGTGTTATTTTCATTTAACATGAGAAAACTGAGGCTGAGTGATGCACTGGTTCACAGTTAATAAATTATGGAGTTGGGAGAAAAACAAGATAGCTATGTATCCATAGTCTACTAAGTAGTGATAGTATTAGAACACTGGTCTTCCACACTAATTCTGGACTTTTTCCCAGCCTGCCATTGTATTCCATCTGACTGACCAGCCTGACAACATTCAGATTCTGAGCACAACCAAGCCCTCCTCTCCAGAGTGAGACCTTTTCAGCAGAGCATGCCAATTCCCATTATATGCTTCAGGACATGTGATCAGCACCTTCTATCTATCACATTAAAACCCAGCCTCCCCCTTGTACCTGGCTGTACTCTCTCCTCCCTGAAGAATACATCCTCCATCGTATTTTATCCTTAGCAGATTGTGTGTGTTTTTTCCGTGTCCTCCCACCACTCCCTACACAGTACTTCCTATGACCGTTGACATCAACCTTACCTTGGCAGGACCCTCTCTCATCTTCTTGATTTGATCCTTATATTTCACTAGCTCAGCATCCAACCGGGAAATCTTTTTGTCAATGGATTCTGCTCTGCTATCCACCTTGGAGGAAAATGTCAAATGTAGTGCTAATTATTGTAGTGTTTACACGGGAAGGGGCAGGTGGAGAGCAAGGAATATAGACGAAGAAATGAAAACAAAAGGAAGGACAAAACAAAGAGTGGAAAACAGTGGTTTCCTTAAGGGTGGGGAATACAGTCAGAATCATTGGAAGACTTTCATAAACTCTCTCCCATCTCCCAGATTCTGATATAGCAGTTCTCCCTCGAGAAAAACAATTTGGGAATCACTGGGTTGGTTGAAATTTCCCAAGTCAGCCGGGGGACTCAACATGAAAGTGTATGGAATGAGCCAGTGGACACAGGCTAAGGAGAGATATCTAATGCCATTTCCGAAATCAGGTTTAATTTGGAAGGGCCAAGGTTCAGAATTTTGTGTTACACAGATCCAGGACTAAGGGTACAGATACGTTAACCTTGATGTAGGCGAGGGAAGAGGAATGAAAAAAGGATTGGTAAAAGACCCGACTAGACCAACACAGGGCAGGTTGGAATGTGAGGACCAATGGAGAAAGGAGGGATGGGGCGTAGGGGGCATCAGAAAGGGTTTTAAGTGTAGCGATGGTGTAGTAATGAAGTTAAGAGGGTCTCTGGTTTGTGGAGTCAGGAATGACCTGGAAAACAGGGATGAAAGGGGTGGGGATGGATAAGACTGAGGTTTAATGGGCCCGAACCAGGAATGGGGTGGAGTAGGAATTCGGGATGGGTCGGTCGGAGTTGAGTCTAGGTATACAAAGTCAAATGCCCACCGTCCCAATGCAGTCAGTCAGGTTTGGCGGCGGAGCCTTGGGTTTCGCTTTTCCAAAGAATCGGTTCATCTTGGCCGGCGGCGAAGAGACCCAAACACTGGAAGAAAAACCAGAAACGGAAGCGTAGTCGCTCCGGTTTCAGTTTCCGGCCCCCCCATGCGCAAGCGCAGAACGTCCGCTGGCGTTTCCCGATCCTTTTTCCGGGTTTTCAGCTCCTCCTTCTGGAGAAGGAGCGCAGAGCTCTGGGAGAGGCGGAAAGACGTCTGGAGGCGGGGCTTAGGGGGAGGGATGGGGCGGTGCCTCCGTGGAGTGGGTGGGGCCTAGACGCCGCTGGGCGGATAGGGCGGGGCCTGGAGCGGGGGTCAGTTCCGAGGGCGTGGTGAGCAGATGGGGAGGAGCCGGTGAGTAGTAGGGTGGGGCTGCAAGACTGCGCGCTGGGCAGCCACCGCTGGGCGGTGAACAAACGCGGGCCTGGCGGATCACAGCGGCCTTCGGCGACCGCGAGAGGACCGGGAGCCGCTGGGACCCCGGCTGCGCGCCTCTCGGCCCGGTCGGGAGCTGCGCCAGTCGGAGCCCCGGGCCGAGCGCGGCTTGCCTGCCTCTCAGCGTTCATCTGGCCGCAGCGCAGCCAGCGGGCATGACCGACCCACCAGGGGCGCCGCCGCCTGCCCTTGCAGGCCGCGGGTGAAAAACAAAGTCGGTCCCCGCTTCACTCAGAGCGAGAAGGTGGCTCACAGCAGGGAACTGACCCGGGGAAAGAGAGTGACCCGCAGCAAGAAAGTGACCGGGACCAAGGAGGAGACCCAGGTGGTGGAGGAGGTGACCAAGATCGAGGAGGCGACCCAGACCGAGGACGTGACCGTGGCCGAAGAGGTGACCCAGACCGAGGACATGGCCCAGACTGAGGAGTTGGTCGAGACGGAGGAAACGGAAACAGCCGTGCTCAGCGTGACCGTCACCCACAGTGAGCACCAGGGTGGGCTCTGTAGGTTGGGTTGGGATCAGTGGGTTTGGCCACGTGTAGCCGAGCATAAGTTCTTGGCTATGTTTGTGGGAATGGTTTTTGTCTCGGGCTGGTGTTAGGACATCTTCCCGTGTGGCCAGTGTGTTTTGTCCCTGGACATTTGTTAAATCCTCTATTTTGGAAGCGTTGTTGAGTGTGTGCCGCTAGTAATTATAGGTCTTTGTGTCAGTCTTGTGTTTGGCCATCTTTCTTGGTTCTGGACATCTACCTGTATAGTGAGTCTGAACTTGGTGTTTGGTCGGACTGTTCATCACTTGCTGAGTACTTTCTGTATTGAATGTCACATCACCGCAGACTCAGTGGGCGGTGGGTCCAAGAGTTACTTTCTGGACACCTGGCGAAATTAACACAGAGCTAAACACTGGAAAGTACACGAGAAAGCTCACTTTGTGAGATTTCCTTAGAACCAGTTAGTTAGGAAAGACCCACATACTTTGCCATCTGGAAGCCATGATTCTGTGTTCAGCAGCCATAAGTCACCTTGAGATGGATGTCTCTTTTTTTAAGGGCTCTGATTTCTGGTCTGTGGAGCACAGATGGGGACTAGGACTCCTTCTGACCCTGGAGTCAATTGGGAGAGCAGTCTAATAAGCTGGACCTGCACTCCACCTACTTAGAAAAGAATTGACACCTGTGTTAAAAAAAAAAAAAGGATCCATTCGTTTGTTTTTACTAAGCACTAATTATGATGTACTTAGGTGTGCCCAGTAAGAAAGACATGGAGGAAAACAGTCCCTTGCTGGTGGGTGAATCAAGGAAGACAAAACTGATGCCTTAGAGACGTTAGGGCAGTCAGACTACAGGATGCAGGCAGCTTGTGATGGCGAGTGTAGACTTTGGAATCAGCTGGATCTAAGGGCAGATTCTGACTCTGCCAGTTGAAGGTTTCTCCAAGCAAGTCTTAATTAAATTGATAGCTGCTTTATGGTGTTGTCCTGGAGTTCTGAGATAATGCGTGGAACAAGTCTTGTACAACTCATTATGTATAATTGCATAAAATGTCAGCTGTTATTAAAATAGTTTTTTATGTTAGAGGAAACAAATCTTTGAGAAGGTCACCAAAGGAAATCTTTGTAATAGGTAGCATCTGAGTTGTGCCTTGGGGACATAGCTCATTAGTAGAGCTCTTCCCAGCAAGCCCGAGGCACTGAATTCAATCCTTAGCTCCATAAGAAAGCACCAACTTATTTTTAGGTTTATGTGAAAGAGTTGTCTTCATTGAATGCTTTTCTTTCTCTCCAGGCAATGAGAGGTATGACCTTCTTGTTACCCCACAGCAGGGCAATAGTGAACCAATTGTCCAAGACCTAGCTCAGCTTGTTGAAGAGGCCACAGGGGTTCCGATACCTTTTCAGAAGCTCATCTTCAAGGGTGGGTATTTCTCATTCATTTTTGAGTTTTTATGGCTAAAGGACAGATTTCATTTTGTTTGTTTGTTTTGGTTTTCTAAAACAAGATTTCTCTGTGTAGGCCTGAATGTCCTGGAATACGCTCTGTAAACCAGGCTGGCCTCGAACTCAGAGATCCACCTGTCTTTGCCTCCTGAGTGCTGGGATTAAAGGCATGTGCCACCACCACCCTGGTAAGGACAGATTTTAAATTGCTTAGTGACTTTCAGTTTTCTGTGTGTGTATGTGTGCATGGGTGTTTTGCCTGTATACATGTCTGTGTACCAGGTTTGTTCAAGGCCAGGAGAGGATGTCAGCTTCTTTGGATCTGGAATTACAGATGGTTGTGAGCCACCATGTGGGTGCTGGGACCTGAACCCTGGTGCTCTGTAAGAGCAACAAATGCTCTTAACCACTGAGCTATCTCTCCAGCCCCCATTTTTCAGTTTTCAAACCAGAACCATTTTCTTTTGTTCATTTGTTTAAAAGGTATTTATTAAGAACCTGCTCTACACTAGACTTTGAAAACATCTGGATGAGTATCAGATTTGGAGTAACAGGATGACAGAAATGTCAACTTTTTTTCAGGAAACATACGGACAGTTTTCTCTGGCTAGGCTAGATTTTTTCCCCCATTGTATGTTCTGCATGATTGTTCTGAAGATACTACTAAGTAAATGTTACCTTAGTTGCCTAATATCCGATTTCTGTTAGTGTGACAGCAGAGACACTACTGTTGCCAGTACTTGACATCATGCTGATTAGAGAGGTTTTGAACAAACTGGATGGAGCCTGGATGGGCAGAGAGCTAGATGATGCTGATGCTGATTTCTGAGGCACTAGCTCCTCCCCACCCTCCCTGTCCTCTGCCTTCTCACTCCCATAGGAACCCATTATTCTGGTACATGATAGGACCAGATTTATCTCATTAGGTTTTGGTCATTGTAAAGAATTTAATAATAAACATTATGGCAGGGATAAAACTTTTGCCTGTAGTAATAGGAAGCATTTTTATTCATATTTCATAGTTAGATCTTTGCCTTTTTCTTGGTGAGAGAGTGATAGTTTCCTGTAGCCCACGCCATTGTGGAACTGGCTAGGTAACATGCATGACCTTGCCCTATGTCTTTTTCTTTTTAAATAATTTAATTTTTGAATTATAAAGACAATAAAAACTTATCTTTCAAAGTTGAGTACAGTAGCATACACCTATAACCCCGTACTCTGGAAACTCAGACTAGCTCCATGCCGACCTAGGTAATATAGAGAGAAGGGAGTGGGGAGGCGGGAGGGGAAGAAGGGCAGAGAATGTGAAGGAAAGAAACAGCACAGAGAAGAAAATGTTCTCCTGGATAAAGTTCCTTATTAATTTTTTTTATGGTACTGTAGCAGTTCAATCAAACATGCTAGGCAAGTACCAAACCACTAAGCCCTATCCTCAGCCCATGTGTTTTACATTTTCTTTTTTATGACATTGAGTTTAGCAGCATTCAGTGAAGTATTCTGAGAAGAAAAGAGCTTTCATGACTACCAAGTCTTTTATTGTGCAGAAATGATCTGTTGGGGCTGGAGAATGGAGTTCTAGGACGGCCAGAGCTGTTCCATAGAGAAACCCTATCTCGAAAAGAAAAACAAATAAATAAATAATAAATCTTAAAACCCTTAGGGGCTGGAGAGATGGCTCTGCAATTAAAAGCACTGTCTTGCCTTCCAAAGGACCCAGGTTCAATTCCCAGCATCCATATGGAGGCTCTAAACTGGTTAGTAACTCCAGTTCCAGGGGATCTGACCTCCACTGGCATCAGGCACACATATGATGCACAAGCATACATTCAGGCAAAATACCTGTACACATAAAACAATAATAAAATTTTTTAAAGAAATGTCTGTTATATGAATTATATTAATCCTTTGTTCCTGAATATTATTTTTAATAACTACTATATAGACATATCTCCAGTTACTTGTTTTGGATAAATATCTAGAAATGACATTATCAGATAAAGACATTTTCAAAAAAAAGTTCCAATTTCTCCTTTTCTTGTTAGCAAACATGAAGCTTTTTGTTTGTTAGGTTGGTAGGTTTTGGTTGTTCTTGAGACAGGGTTTCATTATGTAGTTTGTGCTAGCCTGGAACTTGGTCTTGGTCTACTGCCCATTCTAGGCTTGAACTCACAGAGATCTGCTTGCTTCTGCCTCCTGAGTGCTCAGAGTAGGTGTGCACCACCATGCCCAGTTGTCTGGGTCCTCTGGAGGAGCAGCCACTGCTCTTAACTAGTGAGCCATCTCTCAGGCCCCCCTTTTAGATTAGATTTGTGTTTCTGTTTTTTGTTTGTTTGTTTTTAAAGATTTATTTATTTATTATGTATACAGCATGTATGACTGCAGGCCAGAAGAGGGCACCAGATCTCATTAAGGGTGGTTGTGAGCCACCATGTAGTTGCTGGGAATTGAACTCAGGACCTCTGGAAGAGCAACCAGTGCTCTTAACCTCTGAGCCATCTCTCCAGCCCCCTGTTTTTTTTGTTTTTCAAGACAGGGTTTCTCTGTGTAGTTTTGCGCCTTTCCTGGAACTCACTCTGTAGCCCAGGCTGGCCTCAAACTCACAGAGATCCTGGCTCTGCCTCCTGAGTGCTGGGATTAAAGGCGTGCGCCACCACCGCCTGGCCTGTGTTTCTGTCTTTGAATAATATTTTATTAGTTTTATGAAAATTTCACACAGTGTATTTGATCAGACTCACTTCCTTG